TGGTCCAGTCTAGTCCATTCAGTGGCCAGGCCAGTAGGTGCACCTGGCTGGCTGGCTGACTGGCTGACTGGCGTCAAAGCCGCCACCAATAAAAGTGGCCAACAAAAGCGAAAATTGGGAAAAAAGATTCGAGTGTGGCGCGTGTCTGAGCCCTTCGCCGACCGGCTGGCCGCCTGCTGTGGTGCCTCGAGCGAGGTGCCAACGGAAGGGACTCGAACAGAAATCATAGGAATCGCGCACTCAGGGCACTGGGCATTGTCTGGGCCGTTACAAATTGTTGTGGGCGTTCCAAATCCGCTTACGACTCGACCTCGACTCGCCTCCCTCTCTCTCTCTTTGGGCCAGGAATTTAATTTTGTGTGAGTTTTGATCGCATTTCATCTTGTGCTGGGTTTTTGAGCGTTAAATCGCCAAATCCTTCGTTAATTTTGACGTTTGTCTTTGTTCGAACGGAGCGAGGGTGTGGACTGATGATGACCAGCGGTCAGCGGATGGATGACCCGCACTAAGGGTGAACGCGAAGCCCGGAAGGAGCCGCACATGTGGGTGGATAGATGGATGGATGGCTGGACAGACTGCAATTGTCCGTTCGGTTGAGATTAAAAATTTAATTCGAAATTAGCGCAATTGTTGGCATTGCTATTGCTCCCTTTTTTTTCCCCGATCGATTCGGGTGAAAAGACAAATAAAATCGATGTCTGGTCTCGCAGGCAGCTGGCCCTGAATGATGGCAACAATTTCGTGATTACTTTTGCGCCCCCGCCACCCCACGCTCGAGTGCATTTTATGGTCATCAAAGAATGTTGCCTTTGGTTCTCCATCGATTTGATTTGGTCAGTCAAAAGTAAGGGTTTTATTCGAGGTGGAGGAGGGGAAGCCAAGAGGTAGAGTAGGGAGAGGAGGTAGTGTCTGACTTGGTATCTAATTCCTACTCAAATGATGAAAAACTGAGACTTGGTGACCCCGACAGCTCGAAGATGGTGCACTGATGATTGGTGACACCGACTTTTCCAACTTTGCATCTCATTTCGACTCCAAAGAGGGAGTACTGAGATTTGGTGACCCAAACACCTTGAAGATGGGGCACTGCCACGCTAATTGGTGACCCCGACTTGCCAACTTTGCATCTGATTCCTACTCCAAGGATGGAGTACTGAGACTTTTGCTTGGTGGCCCCGACAGCTTGAAGTTGGAGCACAGCCACGCCGATTGGTGACCCCGACATCGCCAATTCCTACTCCAAGGATGGAGTGACCACGATAGATCGAATATAGGGCATTCCGACGCTGATTGGTGACCCCGACATTGTCAAATAGTGATCACGAATGAGTCTACCCCGAGATTTACACCTCTTAGAGCGAGAAAACTAACCCAGAGAGATCAAGATATCCAAAATATCTCAAATATCTTTCAATAAGACCATCAGAGATTACTCCCCCGCCCCACAGGAAGCTGTCTCTTATTTCCCAAAGGCTGGACTCTGGACATATCAATCAACTGCTTAGAAATTAGAGCGGGGATAGGGTTTCGACCAGAGCATAGAAATAGGAACAGGGATGGATACCACGAAGAAGGGTGTGGGGTACGGGGTACGGGGTACGGGCCGTGGGGGTGGGAAATGACCATAAAAGCCAAACAATGGCGTGTTAATGGCAACTTTAAACTGATACCACTCCACGCGAAGGTTAATCGCTTCCCTGCCGGACACTGGGCACCCGGGCACCCGGGCACCCGGGCACCACCCGCTGGTATCTGGGTTAGGGTTTGGATTCGGGTTTTGGGCTAGGCACCGCCAACGACACCGCCAGCGGCACCCGACGGCGTCGCGTGATAAATGCAGCCAGCGCAGCGGGCGGACAGCGAATAGAGTTGTCAACTGGCGGCAGTATTTCAGAGTTGACACGGCCCACGGCTGGATAGTTTCGATTCGATTGCAGCTGAAATTCCACACACGAAACATGAAAAATGGCACCCACGAGAGGCGGGTGGATTCTATGATTCAATTACGCTCAATAGAAATGTCACTAAAAAGTTTTCTGCATATTAATTGAATCGAAACAGAGGGACATATGGTGGTGGAGGAGGGGGGAGAGGGGCATGCCGGAATCACTTGAATTGTCAATTGATTTTTGTGGTTTTTCAACAAAAATGTTGAACAAATTGTGCAAAAAATCCACTGGCACCACCACGCCCTTATCAACACCACAGGCGCCAGTGGCTCGTTTTTTATTTGCCACTGCCACTGGCACTGCCACTGGCATAGAGCCCCCTGCCCCCCAGCCGTTGGCCAGGTGTGTGGCCGGCTAGTTGTTGTCGACTCTTGTTTGCTTTTGCATTAAACGGTTTGTTTTGCTAACCAAAGTGTTGATTTTATGGCCGACCACCGACGATGCCGATTTTTTCAGCAACTAGTTTCCGCCACGAAATACGAGCTACCGAAACACACGGTTAACATCTAACAGATATGCAGATATATCATTTCAATCTCTGCAATTTGCCATTGTTTCCAGACAGCCGTAAAACAATTTATATTCCCCTGCCATCGTTAGATGCGGGGGAGTGCTAAAATGGCAGTTCTAGTTGGGATTTTTTGAAAGTAAAACCTTGAACAAAGAACAAGGATTTCCTGGCAAATAGCCTTGACGAAGATTGAAAGGGATCTCCGAAGCAATGGGTTTGTTCCGAGCCACCTTATAGACACCCAGGGCCAGCATCACCCCAAAGGTCTTCCTTAATGAAGTATCCAAAGCCCTATGGGAGTTGGCAGTGGAAGAAGGTGTGATATATTGTCTTATATTCCCTATAATTCCATTTTTAGAATTTATGTGAATTTTCACACATGTCTGGCGGTGTTTTTGGTTGGAAAAACCAATATACTCTCAACAAAAAGTGATTTTTAATCGAATTTCTTTAAGAATACAATGTTCTTTCCTTGAATAACAATCTTAGGGATAAACTTTGTTGATCTAAAGCCATCTTAGGCTTGTTTTTGTAATGGAAAATCGATAAAACATGGCTTGGGAGACAGCTCTACCCCATTTTCCCCCTTTCTATTGTGATATCTGTACAGAAATCATGGCTTGTAGATTGATTACCTCATCAAACCAGCTAAAAGAAAAGGTTTTTAGTAGACAATACCCTCTATGGGACGGACGTACTCGCCATTACTTGGCAGAGCCTTCCCATAAACCCTTCATTACACGGCACTAAAGCCGAAGCCGAAGCCAAAGTCGGGGGCCATAAAAGCAACTACAACTAAAACCCCGAAAATAAAAACTCAATTTGAATTCAGAAACCACCAAAAAGTGGTGCGTGCTTAGGGGCCCCCCTGCCCCGGGATCCCCAAATTAAACCCTAACTCGAAACCGATGAGCTCGATAAAGCGACAAAAGCGGTCTAGAAAATAAATTAAAAATACATTTTTACGTAAATGTGGCACATTAAAAGGCGACTCGAGGAAAGCACATAATAAATATAAAAACACAATTAAATAAGTGCATGGAAAAAAACGAGGAGAAACTGAAACAGAAATCCAAAAAATAGACGAATTCGACAAACAACAAGAAATGCCGCACTACTGGGGGGGGGCAGGGGAGCACTCTATGGTTTAAGGGGTCTATGGGTGTACGAGTCCACAGGAGAGAGGAGGTTCTGGGGTGCAATATAGTCAGGGAAGCCTTGGGCTTGATAGGATCCCTTGATCCCTTGCCAATTTCCGAAAGATGAATAGCAGTCCTCGTTTGGGTAGAACTTTTCTTCATTTAAAGGATCTTTTCGGAGCCACCGCTTTCCATGGCTCCTAAGAAATGTCCTATAGTCTCTTCTTCTGTCTTCTAGAGAGCTTGGATCTGTGATATTATCATCTTAAGTGCCTCCTTATATCATATATTGTATGGCATTGCTTCTTGGCTTCTTTTTCTTGGCCTTAGGCAGTCGGAATCGCCCTCGAAGGCGGCTCATCATTGGATCAAATCAATATACCCAAGGAAAACTTTTCAGATTTCTTGTATTCCTGTTTCATTTCCACTTTCAGCACCTTCCAAGCACCCTTATTCCTTTGTCCTAAGCCGAGCCAAAGCTCCTATTCTTTCCGAAATGCCCAACTTTGGTCAGTGCCCCGCCCCGAACCCCCCGCTGAGACAAAAGAGGTGTAAAGACCTCGTCTCGTCTCGGCTCGGCTCGAGAAATGTTAATGTAAATTTCAATTGTTTTAATTTATTTTGTGACCCCTTTGTCACGGACTAACTTAATGCTACGAGTGTATATTCTATAAAGAAAGAAATAAAACTGAATTAAAATGAAAACACGAAAGTGCTGGGGCTCTATTCTTGCCCCAAGACGTGACTGGCATACCACCCGGGGCCCGGAGCCCGGGGCCCCGAGGGCCCATGGATCTAGTGTTCCCGAATATATCTGGAGCACAACGAATGCTCTCATAACCAGGGAATAGTTGACTGAACTTTGGGGCTCTCCGCCCCACTCCACTCCACCCCCAACAAAAAACAGCGGAAAAATGCTTCCGAATGTTCGATGAAAAATGTCTTTGGTTTACCATTAATCCAGTGCCCTGATCCGGGGCGACAGATCATTACACACGCGCGTTTTGGGGCCATTCGTTGTACATAAGTGTATGTAAATTTATTAATAAAAACTCCCCCAAAAAAACAGGGAAAAAACGGCAGAGAGTGGCAGGGGCACGTGATCGGCGGTAGGCGGTGGCGGTGGCGGAGGGCCGTGCAGTTGTTCTCTGGCTGTAATTTATAGGCCCGTTCCCAAATGACACGCTAACTAATAGTATCATCATAATTTATACATACAAAATGCATTGCTTATGTAATTTATGCGCCCACCCCAGCCCGGTCCCTCCCCTGAGCCACCCCAGCACTGATTTCCATGCTGACAGAGGTCACGGCACCCGGCACACGGCACCCGGCAAAGGTCAGCCCTCGACCCCCGGCTGCCTTTGAATTAAACGGTCAATAATGTGGATAATATTTTGATATATTTGAAGTTTTGAAGTCTCTTTATTTCGATCTATACGGTACGTTTTGTTTTTAAGCCAAATTTCAATATGCCAAAACTTTTTGAAGGGATTTTTGGAGCGGAAATGGAACTTAGAACCAGCTAGTGCCGTTGTTTTGGCCACGTGCCGTGCTGGGCTCGCCCAGACCTGCCCGGGGAAGAGAAGGGACTCAGTGAGGAAGCCAAGATCGGGCCAAAAGACTCACCATTGGCTCGGCCAGAGCCGTTGCCGCGGCGACCGGAGTAGCCGCCTTGCATCCTGGGGGCCACATTCCTGCTGCCACCCATGCCGTTGCCCATGTCGCTGCCCATGCCGTGACCCATGCCGTGACCTCCGCCGTGCATCATGGAACCACTAGAGAGGCATAGATGGTTACTCAATGGAGGATTACAGGCAGGATCTGCACTTACTGGCCGCCCGCTGGCTGGTGGGAGAAACTCGCACCCGAGGGACCGTAGTTTCCGTATTTGGACATCATCGAGTTGTTAAAGTCGGCAAAAAGATCCGGCGGCGATCCAAACTGGCCCTGTCCCTGTCCCTGTCCGGACATGCCCGGCTGCTGGTAGCTGTTCTGGTTCTGGTTGGAGTGCAGCCACTGGCGGCCCCCATGGTTCTGCAAAGAGAGGTCAAACCTTCGGCCTGGAGGCTGGAGGCGGCCAGGACTCACCTGCGAATAGTTGGACATGCCCCCTTGGCCGTGTCCTGCCCCACCGTGGCTGTACTCCCAGCCGAATTCGGGCGCATTATAGTTTCCGTTCTCCATATCGAATTTTGTTTTACCGCAAAATTAAATTAACAAATTTTTGAAAATTTCTTTTATTTTTGGAAAAACTGGAAAATAAATTTGTTTGTTTCGGAAAATTTTGGAAATAGAATTTACTTTTTGGTTTTTTTTTTCTACCGAGATGTTGCCAGAACGACTGCCTAAATCGGAATGAAAATTTCCCAGTTTTTTGCCAGAGCATTGACGAGTTTTTACAAAAAACAGAAATCAAGGAGGACTAGATCTCATAGAAAAGAGGAGTTAGTAGGATTTTAGTTTGGGGTGGAGTTGGCTTTTGTTTGGCTTTCAGTGGGGAAGTCGTAGATATTTCCAAATCCCTGAAAAACGCCCGACTTGATTGACTTTTTCCACGTCTTTGGGCTTTGGGGAATATGAATATTATAAATGCAAAACCAGTCGAAGATTTGTATCTATCAGTTTTCCCACAGAAACACACAGCAGGAGCCATTAGATACATGTTTTATGGCCAATAAACAGCCCACTTATTAACGGCATTTAAAAGCAGTTGTGGGAATTTATTGAATTAGTCAATTAGGTGGCTGGCTCTCTGATTTATGGAATTAATATTTGTTTATAAATATTGTATAATGGCTTTGGTACTACTTAATGCGATTGTACCAACAAATATATTTGTTATAAAATAGACATTTAATGGTGGAAGAGCACCTTCCACCTGTACAGCACTCTGCAGGCCGCACAGCTGTGTATCTGTATCTGTATCTGAGTGCTGTGGCAAAACCTGTTCCCTATCGAAATTATTTATGTGTTTTGCTGTCGCTGGAAACAAAGCCCAAAGGCTGACCTACAAAGGAGCCCAAGACAATGCCCGATGACCTCATAAACTGCCTCGTTATGAGGTTCATAAAAATATTACGGCTTCATATTCATAATGCCATTGAGGCTAAGTAGGGATGTGTCCTTGGCAGGGATTGATACCTGCCCGGACAACAAAAAGAAAAAAGTATCTCAAGAGCCTGTAGATTTATGAGCTGCTTTGCTTTTTAGCAGCAATTTAAAATCCATAAAATATTTGATGTTTTTCCCAACTCAAAACAAGGCATCACTGGCTCCACATCCTCCCCCCAAGGCCTAATCCCGTTTTATGGCCTTCGTGCGGTTTTGGGCCATAAAATTGTTTTGTCACCTGTTGAAAAAATTTTTTATGTTTAATTGAAAAAACAAAAATCCCTCGTGTGTTTTTCCTGCCGCATTTTTCCGGACTATTTTTAGCCCCAGTGCAACGTGGGGGAAATATGAAAATATCCAGCCTAATTGCTCTCAATTAGCACCTTCAGCATTGCGGCCGGGCCTCGGCGAGGCGATTTGTCAGACGCCCGTCCTAATGCCCCGAGAAACATTTTGATTTATCAACTCTTTTTACATTCCCCACACGAGTGCATCTGTCAGAGGTGGAGGGAGGTGGAGGGAGGACCCCAAAATAGACGCCCGAGTCATTGGAGTCATCGAAGTCATCTGCATTAAGATCCGACAGCGACAACACTCGAAACGATTTAACTCTTTGACCCCGCCCACTCGTCGAACACAAACCCCAGCCCTAAACCGATCCGAACCGAACGGATCCGACATGCGAGGGCCTATTAAAAAAATTGTTTATGAAAACAAACATTTTCAAGGCAATTAATCATCGCCACGGCACGGCGCGTGGGGGAACTGCAGCACCTTCTATACCCCTTCTTTACCCCTTCTGTACCCCCTCTCTGCCCCAAGCCTCCGATGATGATGATGATGATGGGCTCCACATCCCTCCATCTTCAGTAGCCGTCTGCAGCGTTTGAGTGCCTCCAATTTTCATTTGGAAATCGTTTTATGGCCCCAACACTGGGGCTGTGGGGGAGTGTTAAATGTCTGCCAATTAGTGTAGCTTGTTGCCGATCGTTCTCCTAATTGGCTAAAATATGAAATGCCTTTCGCTTAATCGCCCGAATAAATCGCCCTCGATCGCATCACATAGTGGGAGGTGCGTGGATCTTGAGTACTGGACTATGGGTGGGGGGGTCTGCCTGGTAACAGCTTGGTTTGAATGGAACTAGAATGATTATTGGATTTGGGAGGAGATTGTAGAAGGCGAAACAAAGAAGGAGGAACCTTAAAGGAATTATAGAAGGCGAAAAGAGGCCTTGGACTAATGATGAGCGGATGAGGAGCTCAATTGTTACCAGAAGTACAGTCTAGTCGTCGTCCTATAGCAAAGCGAGTGAGTCGGGGGTAGGCGCACAAGCTAGGGGACTTGTCCCTTGGTTTTTGAAAGTTTAGAACCCCTTTATATCGTTTATATCGCTTGATAGAAGTTATCTTTTGGAGGAACTATATATCGAACGTGAAATGGGATATACTATGATGGAACCCTGAAGATCTGGGCAGATCAGAGAGCAACTATGGACCTATGCTGGGATAAGTGTAAGATTGAAGTTCAGCAGAGTAAAAACTAGGAATAAACTCTATAATCTGGGGGACATCCCAGCGAAAAATAAGCTTTAGACCGCAAACTTTAACCCTTTTATTGAGGATTATGATATAGGTGGAGAGAATAATCCGTGTGGTTTATAAGAAGGTTGCTACAGAAGGGAATAAATTGTTCTTTCTATTGTAAAAGGTCTTCACAACACAGGCTGTTCTTGGCAAGTAAATATGTGCTATATTTGTATCAGAGCTCTTCCTTATTGAGTTATTAGATTCTCCCCAACAATAGAGATATTTTTAAATCACTTATGCCGCGATTATGCCTCGAAATGATATCATGTGGGACTCTGACTGTGGTGCTCTCAGCCTCTAAGCTGTGGCATCATTAGGATCACATTTATTGGGTTCGGATGTGACAGGACCCACTCATTGATGCGCCATAGATGGGACATTAATTTTCGCTGGAAATTGGCTGCAGCTTGGCCTGGTTTAATGTCCTGAAAGGACACACTGGCGTACGGGTCATCTGTCAGAGTGGCAAAAGGTCGACTCGATATTGATTTCACAGTACACAGTTATTGCTCTGCTGACAAAGCGTCGCTTTCGAATGAAATGTGTGTAATATTTCAATTTTTGAGCCACGGTCAAGGGGGAGGAGAGGAAGAGGCCAGCCCCTTCCTGCGGGAGAGCGAGAGCGAGAGAGAGTTGTCACCAAATGCGAACATGACAGAATTTAAACTGCCTGACCTCTGGTCAGTCGACGGCCACACCCCCCTTTCATTAGACCTGGGCCACCACAGGGCACCACCTCCATTGTCCATTGTCCACTGTCCATTGTCGTCCAGGTCCAGGTCCAAGTCCGTGTCCCGGATCGGGTTTATTGTTATTGTTATTATTCGAAAGTGTTCCCTGCAACTGTCAAACGGAAGTATTTCGGTCTTTTGTTGCTGCACTTCTATGGTGCGGGTCCTGGGACCCATTGAACCCTGGCACGCGCCACCGAGGAGGAGGAGGAGGAGGACGACGCCTCTGCCTCTGCCTCGGCCTCGGCCTCGAGGCTAATGACGAGGCCCGACCGACACGACGGAAGCCCGCTCAAGTGCCCCTTAAAATTGTCCCATTCAGCATCCCCCAATTGTCGAAGGAGTCAACTATGTATCTGTCCATCTGTGGGTGGATATGTATCTCTGTATCTCTGTATCTGTGTATCTGTGTGAATCATAAAGACGGGGCTAAATGATGCAAGGAATGCCCCTTCGCTAGTTGTTGTTGCTGGCACATGACAGCCAGCCGAAAAACCAATAAATGTTCGCAAATTTATTGCTTTTCATTCAAAAATTACTTTTGTTTGTTTCGGTTTTTCATCGAAATCCATCCATCCAACCCCTCAAGGATATTTGTGCCGGACAGGACATCAGTTTTTATATCGAAAATGGCCATAAACAACGAAGAACCAGTGAAATGTGGCTACAAAATTGCAATCTTTGAGATACAGGGCGGCCAGAGGTGGGGTTAGAGGGCAGTTTAAGGGGAGCTTAAGGGAAATATGTATCTTGAAAGTATTTAAGATACAAATATGGCAGGGAGATGGCATCGAAAGACACAGTACTACAAGATTCTTTATTGCAGACTTGTTCTAGGAATGATCCCATCCTATCCTATCCATTGGTGACCCTCCAAAGTGGTCTTTATTCCCCATCGAACCGATAGCTGGCTACTCCTTCAAACTGCCACCATTCCAAGGGAGAAAAGTCGTAGGACTGCTTCCTGCGGGCGCTTCCCGTCTCCTCTTCCATCCCCCCCGGCGCATAGCTACCCCCACCTCCGCCCTTCTTTCCGTTCCAGCAACAAAAACCAACACCAGGCCAACTGTCAACGCATTGTCAATTCTATTTTTATGTTTTATGTTTTTTTTCATTTCGTTTTCCCTTTGTTTTCATTTTCATTTATGTTTTCTTGTGTTTTGCTCTCGTTCTCATTCTCATTCTCGTTTTGGCGTGGCTTCCGCTGCGCTTCATTTGGTTTCGTCTCCTCAAGCGGTTGTCGCCTGTCGAAAGGCCCTGCAGCCCGCTCTACACTGAGAAAAATAAGTAGCCAGTGAGCCATAGAAGATACATATAGGGGGTATAGGGGTTTCCCCTTTAAGCCAGATATTATTGTGGATTTCTAAGGATAATATTTAAATTAAATAATTTGAAAATTCCCTTTTTTTGGGACTTTGAAATTTCCTTATAGCCAAGATATTATTAAAAAATAAATTGTTTATTATAGCGTAATAAAAAATATAAATACAATATATTATTGTTATATTTTATATATTTAAATATTATATATAATTCTAAATATTTTTATATTATTATAAAAAATATAAATTTAATTATATATAATTTTCAATATTTTTATATTATTATAAAAAATATTAAAATATATAATACAATGTTAAATTTAAATATATATAAAACATTGATCCCCTTTCCAAATTGAATCTCACACATTTCTTTCTCTCAGTGCACCCATGCCGCCTACCTTCCATTCTTTTCTGTTTTTTAATATTCGAGTGTAATATTTCAGTTTTTTTCTCGGTTCTCTTTTTGG